TCACAGGATGTCACATAAATAAACATTTAAGACTTTTAAGTAGGTAACAAGAATGGGGAAAGCACGTACTTTTTTTCCTACATAAACTGCTGACAATACAATCTGAACTACACTGACACTTAATACGGTTGATATCTTACAGTTTCAGTTGAGAACTCAGAAAGCATACTTCATCCAGTGTGCTTGTACCCGAATTTATTGAAGTGCATTATGTTATTATTTCATTTATTAATAAATGTATGTGCCTTTTGTGCGTTTGGTGTTATGTTTGCTTGAAATAGCAATGTCATACTCTTATAAGACTTAAAGGTTTTCATGGTGAAAGAAACTAGATCTATAGCAAAGATTGCGGTAACACCATGTATTTATCTCTTCTTTCTCTTCGTGGGCATAGACACCAAAATTACTCTTCTGCAAGTCTCATATCTCAAGATATGGTCAAAACTCTGTCAAAATGGCGGCCGTTTATGCCAAATTAGGCATATTTCCGAAACTCGGATTTGCTCGGTCTTTTTTCTGGTCATTTTGGGTACACAGCATAAATGCATCCTGAAGAAAAACCTTTGATAGCAATTAGTTCTAGGTTGAATGTTAATTTTCTTGGACTACTGTCCCGAGACCGTTTGAATAAGTGTCGTGGGTTTGTTTAAAATTTTTTTGTCGAGTTAACGTTAAAGGCGCGACACGTAGGCCCTATCAATAAATTTTCGGTAATTGTAATTGTTGTTAAACGGGTCAAAAATGTCGTCACCCGGAATGGGTATTTCTCAGTCAAAAAGGATCTTTCTTACGGTAAAGTAGACGCGAAAATTCATCAATGCGGAAATGTTATATGGTTGACATTAATTACCTTGGCAAATCTCTACCCCACACGCGGTCGTTGCACAGTATACCGCCAAATTAAGTTGATTTTGATAAAACGACATCGAGTCTGTACACCAACGATCTACGACTTCATCTGCTGTGACACAAGGAAGTTTATAAACCGAAGTGATATCGGGAAACCTGGCCCAAAATGAATTTTTTTGTTAACAACAATGAACATTATTGCTAAAATTGACTCCAATAGTAAGTGTTTTTAAAAAACCACGAGAAAACTTTTTTGAAACATAGTAATAAATAGATAGATAGTTTGGCAGTCGTTGATAGAATTGTACACTCTTTTCACTTTAGGAAAAATGAGCAGACATTTGAATAACAAACTTACATGATAAAAACGTTTAAGTCAAAAAAGTAAGTTTTTACACCAGGTGTTTTAACATTATAAATACCACCGAAATCGATTGGCAAACTCAAATCGAAGGAAGGCCGGCAGAAAGGGAAATAAGAAATAAAGATGCAGGAATGGCATTACATGCCGAGTTAACAAATATCAATATGGATATTGTAAAATCAATTGCANCATTTACTACTATTTCTCAGAAGTATGTTGACTATGTGTTAAAGAGTTATGGTAACAACCATTGTGTTCGATGGATATTCAGACCAACCAACCATCAAATTTATGCCACACGTCTACGACGTTTTGGGGGAGCTCAAGGGCTTACTGTACAGTTTGATGAAGATATGTTAATGAATGCAAGAAAATAGGAGTTCCTCTCAATGAGGTGAACAAAACACGCTTCATCAATCTCCTCAGTGAGAAGCTTGGGAAGGCGTGTTGTTTGACAATCCATGCAAGAGATGACACAGATCTCCTAATAGTAAAACCTGCGGTGGAGTCTGCAAGGACAATAGAGACCATCCTTGTTGGTGATGACACTGATCTCTTGGTGCTCCTTATCTACTACGCTCAGATGAATGGTTGCAATATATTCATGGCACCTGAACCGAAGGCAACTTCCAAACAGAAGAGAGTTTGGGACATAAAACAGTTGAAAACTAAACTTGGGACATCAGTATGCTGTAATATATTGTTCATACATGCCATCCTGGGGTGTGAGACCACTTCAAGGGTATTTGGTCTGGGCAAAAGCCTTGCTCTGAGGAAACTGAAGAACGACCCATTCTTCTGTGAACAAGCTGAGATGTTCAACGTACCAACAACAGATGAGAAGGCCGACATTGTTAAAGCATGAGAGAAAGTCTTAGTGTTGATGTACAAGGGATGTCAGACAGAATCCTTGGATCAGCTTCGATACAAACAATTTTGTTCCAAAGTGGCAACTACCATCATAGCTGTTTCGGCACAATTACTGCCATCAGCATCATCGTCAGCTCAGTACCATAGTCTGCGGTTGTACTATCAGATTAAGGAGTGGAAAGAGCAGTTCATAGCTCTTTCACCCGAAGACTGGGGTTGGATTCTCTAGAATGGGAAATATGTTCCAAGGCTCAGCGACAGAAAACCTGCACCAACAGAGCTACTAGAGGTCATGAAATGTGGATGCAAGACAGACTGTTCAACACGAAAATGTAGCTGCAAACACTCCGGGATTGAATGTACAGGCGCATGTCTTGTATGCCATGGTACAACATGCAGCAATTCATCACATTCGGCTATTGATCTTGAAGCAGAAGATTAAACTAAAGAAACCTCCCTCGTCACTATCATCATCATATCAACGTTTGAACACATATAAATGACAGTCACTTTGGATTTGTGCACATATCGGTATCAGTTCTGAGGAAAATGCTTTTTAACATTTCCAGTGACACAAATGTAATCAGAAACATCGGAAATATGGATAAAGGTAACAGATTTCTTAACCAGTTAATCTGCTGTTTTGTAATATTATTTAAAAAAATGAATAAAAATGGCCGCCATTATGATTTATGCAAATTAGGCATGTTCCAACTCTCCAGCAAGAATTTTACTGTAATAATTATACTCAGAGACCGTGGGCATAGACACCAAAATTACTCTTCTGCAAGTCTCATATCTCAAGATATGGTCAAAACTCTGTCAAAATGGCGGCCGTTTTGAATTTATGCAAATTAGGCATATTTCCGAAACTCAGATTTGCTCGGACTTTTTTCTGGTCATTTTGGGTACACAGCATAAATGCATCCTGAAGAAAAACCTTTGATAAAAATTAGTTCTAGGTTGAATGTTAATTTTCTTGGACTACTGTCCCGAGACCGTTTGAATAAGTGTCGTGGGTTTGTTTAAAAATATTTTGTCGAGTTAACGTTAAAGGCGCGACACGTAGGCCCTATCAATAAATTTTCGGTAATTGTAATTGTTGTTAAACGGGTCAAAAATGTCGTCACCCGGAATGGGTATTTCTCAGTCAAAAAGGATCTTTCTTACGGTAAAGTAGACGCGAAAATTCATCAATGCGGAAATGTAATATGGTTGGCATTAATTACCTTGGCAAAGCTCTACCCCACACGCGGTCGTTGCACAATATACCGCCAAATCAAGTTGATTTTGATAAAACGACATCGAGTCTGTACACCAACGATCTACGACTTCATCTGCTGTGACACAAGGAAGTTTATAAACCGAAGTGATATCGGGAAACCTGGCCCAAAATGAATTTTTTTTTGTTAACAACAATGAACATTATTGCTAAAATTGACTCCAATAGTAAGTGTTTTTAAAAAACCACGAGAAAACTTTTTTGAAATATAGTAATAAATAGATAGATAGTTTGGCAGTCGTTGATAGAATTGTACACTCTTTTCACTTTAGGAAAAATGAGCAGACATTTGAATAACGTACAAAATTACGTGATAAAAACGTTTAAGTCAAAAAAGTAAGTTTTTACACCAGGTGTTTTAACATTATAAATACCACCGAAATCGATTGGCAAACTCAAATCGAAGGAAGGCCGGCAGAAAGGGAAATAAGAAATAAAGATGCAGGAATGGCATTACATGCCGAGTTAACAAATATCAATATGGATATTGTAAAATCAATTGAA